CCCTCCCCCGCCCCGTCCCCAGCATCCTCCAGCCGCTCCCAAGCTTTGGGGGTACGGGGGCTTCTCCATCCCTCCCAACTTGTAGAAGGAGCCTCCCAGGACTTGGGGGCTCCAACCCCAAGCAGAACTGCCACTTCTTCAACCTAGAACCCCAGATTGCCGAGTGGGGAATGGCAGTTTTGGGGGGGGGTTCTGAGAGGCAGCGGGGTAGAGTCGTAGGCCACCGCTTTCCGTGTTGATAATTAGGACTCCTCTGTCCCGTTTCTTTGGCTTCCCCAGAAAACCGGGGGTGGGGGTTGTAGCGGGGAGATGGGACCGAGGTGGGAAGACCATTCTTGGGGAAAGGATAGGGATGGGGGAGCTCTGTAGGGGAAAGGCCGGGGTGGGGATGGGCAGACGGGCGGAAAGGAGGGGGGCAGGTACTCACCATGTGGGCTGAGGCGCGGGCTGCCTCCCCGGCACAGCGTCCATGGCAGGACACCTCCACTCCCACCGGGCGAGCCAAGCCCCCTCCTCTTCCGGAGAGACTGCTCCAACCCAGAGAGGGAAGGCAAGGCGGGGGAGCTGTGGGAGAGTCCCCTCTCCCCAGCTGGGGGTGCGTTAGTGGCAGGGTTTGGGGGGGAGAAGAGAATAGTGTAGGGGAAAAAAATCTGCCTTGGGTGGAGATAGGGAAGAGGAGCTGGAAGCTGGTTGAGAAGGGGGAGGGGGCTATCAAGGGGGGTGTTTTTATTATTTTTTTCCTTATAGGGTTGGGAGAAGGAAAAAAAAAAATCAAAATTCTGATTCCATCCCAGCACAAATCAATGTTTGCTCCATCCCAGCATCACGGGGGAGGCTGGGCCAGGCAGATTTAAAGGGGCAGAGAGAAAAGAGAAGAGAGGGTGGGGAGAAGAGGAGATGGATGAAGAAGAGTCAGTGGCCACGGTGGGGATGGCGGCGAGGGGAGGGAGGGTGTGCCCAGGAAGAAAAGAGGGGGTACCCACTAACCCTGCAGCGAGATGAGGCCGGTGGGGAGGAGGATGAGAGGTGCGGAGACCCCCAGGTTAGAAAGAAACCCTGGCATGCAGGCGGGGAGTGGGGTGAGGTGAGAGGAGGAGAGAGGAGCTTGAGGGAGGAGACTGAGCTGAAGATGGGGAGGCAGGGGGAGGCCGGAGTCAGGCGGGGGTGGAGAGATGCTCCAGAGGCCGAGAGAGGGCGAGCGGAATACAGAGAAAGAGGTGCAGGGGTGAGAGCTAAGGAGGAGGCAGATTCAGCCGGGGAGGGAGGAAGGGAGGGAGACCCATTCTGGGGCTGGTGAGGGATGGACAGGGAGGGGAAAAGCAGGGAGAGAAGGGAAACCCAGAAAGAGCTATGGAGGTTGAGAGTGAAGGGAAGGAGAAAGCACTGCAGGGAAGGGCAGGCGCGGGTATAGAAATCCTGGCGGGAGGGGCCCACACTGAGGCAGGAGATCTGGAAGTGGTGTCTGTGGGGGCCTTAGGAAGAGAGGTGAACCTGCCACTTTCCTGCCCGAAAGCTGGCTCCACAAATGCTTTTCCGGACTTCACCATCCTCCAACCTCCAGCTGTTTCTCCCAGACTTGGCCTTCTGAAGGGAAAGGGTTGTGTTGTTTTTGTACTGGGGTGTGGCGCTCAAACTTGGCCAGGTGATGAAGATTTGGGGGCTTTAGAATCTTGTCTTTTGCAAACCTAGAAGCAGACACATAAATATAAATATGCTCCTCTTCCCTATCTCCACCCAAGGCTCTTCTTGTGACAAGGGCCCTTCTAGCCCACCACTCCTGTTTCTGTCCACTCACCTGAGAGGGGTAGCACATCTGGACCTTGCCATTTACAGGCAGATGAGGGCAAACATTGTCTTCCCTCCCTCTTCAGGGATTTGCATCCAGTTCTATCCCTGCATCTAAGCACTTGGGAAGGAGAATGTTGTGTCACGGTGTCCAGTTACGCACAACAGGTAGAGAGATGCACTCAGTTGATTGTACACCCCCACCCCCAATTTTAGAGAAGAGAACTCAGCAGAAGCCACACGCAGAGGTGGCAGAGCCAGAATTAGAACACTACATAAGTTTTCTTTCTTTCTATTTTTTTTTTTTTCCTTTCAGTGCCATAGCTCAAACTTAGGGGCCTGGGCTTGCTAAACACAAGCTTTACCAGTAAGCTACACCCACGGCAGACTGCAGACCTTTTGAGTCAAGTAATTCCTCCCAGGGTCCCATGTGCTTGGGAACATCCCTTAGATGCAAAGTCTCCATTTTGAGTGCTTTGGTAAAATAAAGAGCATGAGGTTTGACATAAACAGGGATTTTTCTTGCATTGTGTTTTTTTCCTCAAATTTTATATGAGGAGAAACCTGTAAATTTTAAGCCTACAGGGCAGGACCTGCATATTTTGAGTGTTTGGCACAGAACAGGGACGCAGTGATTCCACCTGGGACATGACTGTTGCTGGAGAGTTCATTCTGCATTCATCACCATCTACATAGTTTATAGTTTACCAGGCACATGGCCAGGAGCTAGAGTTCCAGTGGAGAATACCTGGTGCCTGTCCTCATGGAGTTTCCTGTCTAGTAGAAAAGACAGAAAACTATCTAGCTTTCTAGCGTGTTTCGTGCCCTGATGAGTCACAGGGTAGAAATAGAGACTGGGAATGGAACTGAACTTAAGTTGACTCCTTAGGGAGAGAGGCATTTAAGATGACTCCCACATAACAAGAGTTCCAGGGTAGGCCCAGCTGCATTGCTCAACCTTCCTTTTCCACACAGTACCTTGTCCCAGAGATTCCCTTTTCCTGAAAGAAAGGGGGAAAACAAGAAAAAGACATCTATGGGCCTGGTAGACCTGTGCCCTGTTCTTGAGGGAGGCAGTGTGGTGAGGGTAAGCGAGAGTTGAGGCACACTGCCTTGCTGGTGGGGTGCTTCTGTAATGTATTCTGAGCTCTGTATGAAGGTACAGGTTCTGATGAAGAAGCCCTGAAGAAA